CAATGAAATAACCCAGTTTATAGTGTTCACACAAACAGTGACTGGATGATAGTATGATAGTGATGAGATGCTTCAGCTAAAAAACTGAGAAACTGGGATTAGAGTGGGATGATGATGGTGATAAGTTAACGAACAATGTGTGGACGTAATTTTCATATAAACCTCTGACAGCCGTGAGGCTCTATAAAAGCTTTTCCACCTCTTCCAGCTTCTTCTCCGCCTGTTCCCCGCCTGTCGAGCACGTTGGTTGTTGTTAATGTCGTTATTTGTGGACCACGCTGATGTTATGTTAAGTAAAATAAACAGATGTTAAATGTAGTAATCATAGTTCCAATTGTTTTCCGTTCAGCTTAAGACTTGTAGTTAGTGTGCCTAGTTTAGTTTATTTGTTGCTTGGTTGATCTAGACTTTACACAGAAGATTTCTTGTCAGGGTGAGATATTATTGATTTTACCCCCGCCTAAAAGAACTTTTTCTCTGTTTTTTTTCTTGTTACCGAGGCAGCTTATGGTTGGGTTTTGGCTCCCACTCGCCACGTGACATTGTTTAGAGCTCTTGTAGGTTCGGAGTCGAGGAGATTTCAAGGAGTAGATTTCCATATAATCCTTTATAGTGATCTCTTCCCTTTTCTCCATTGCAAGTTACCCCCTCTGCTTTGCTTCTAGTACACTACACCACATCCTGTCTGGTATTTGGAGAAAATTGTAGCACGTAGACTCATTAATGACTTGGAAAAGCACGGCAGGCTGCCATCTTCACTTGGAGGATACAGGATTAGCAAACAGACATGGCTCAGTGCAGCAGTTTTTGCCTGTTGAGACTGAAAGTTTTCAGATGAGAGAAGAGATTTGCAGCGGCACTAGACTTAGAGGATGCCTACAACAGATTACCATGTACCTTTATGATCCGCTTGATAGCCGTAGCACTGTTTCAGAGACGGGTGATACTCAAGTGTGGCTGTTGGTCCTCAGAACCGAAAACCATCAGCCCAGGATTGCCTCAACGGTCCTCTGCGGTCTCCAGTTCTATTCAACGTGTACACAGTGTTGATAACTGAGCAGCAGTTGTCATTTGCTGTTTACATCTTGGTATATCGACTTAGATGAGATCGTCAAGAGACTGCCGATTCAATGCAGATTGAACGTGATCGCATGTCCTCCTGGTGTGTAGATTCTAACCCACATATCTGAGTCCTCAGGAACGTGGTTCTCCTTTAACACGCATAGTGAAGGCAGACTTAACAGCAGTGGAAAGCAGCAACGACATTTTGACGAGAACAAACCTGATCGTAGCTTGTTCTTCAAAGAACAGGTTGACTACGCTATAATAAAAGCACGCCAAAGCCTGTCAGTAATGAGGGTTTAGGCTGCCGTTAATATGGAGCAGAGACTGCTTCTGCTTCTGTTCCAGAGACTTGTTCTTTTTCCCCTCGAATATGCTCTAGCCATTCTCACTGTCAGCCACACTCAGACTGAAAGACTTGAGAAGGTGCAAAACGAAGCAATGCACATTATTCCGGGGTGCACTAGAGACACCTCTTGTGAAGCAATGAGATACCATCTTGACTTCCCTACCTTGAACTACAGGATCAAGATCTTGAGGGCTCATGCATACCTGAAGATAAGCTCAGATCTGATGCATCTTTTGCACCACATGCTCTTCGGGGAAAAGGGCAATAGACTAAAAAGAGGCAAATTATGGCTGGATGGGGCAGAGGATGACATCATGCAGGTCTGCAGTCTTACAGATATTCATCCTGGTGAAGAATGAGTATCAGTGTCTAAGGCTCCAAATCTGTGTCGTCACAGTTGAGAGGTGTTGTCGGGAGTAGGATCCCGATGCATCAACGCCAAGATATGCGCGATTTTCAGTGACAAGTCAGATGAGACAAATGTGCTGATCTTCTCAGCAACTTCCGCCTACATGCGTCGGTTGGGGAGGGAGGGGGGGGGGGGGGGAGAATAAATATCCCCTGTGTAGTACAGGGGCCATAACTAGGGGGTTAGAGATAAAACTGTGATGGCAGTTCAATCCGCTAGGTGTATGAAACTTTGTTGGCAATTCAGTCCGGATGGTGTTAAAGTCCCCAAAGTGTAAATAAAACGATTCTTAAGAGACTTGCGGACTCTGTCACTGGAGTGGCTAGATTTAATGGTTGTCACCTCTATGTCGAAGACACCTTGGTGATCCTGGGAATTGAAGTGCAACTGTACTGGTTTCAGGGCACCATTTTGCATCCAAAAGATGTTTTCCGAACCTGTCAGCCAGCCGTAAACCTGTTTCACCAATGTATTTCATGCCACATCTCTTACCGTTGATGGCTCAAAATAGCAAATGCGAATTGTAGACATCGGAAATGTGAATTGTAGACACGGTGAAACATCAGATTGGTTCGAGGTGCAAAAGGGGGTGAGGCAAGGGGGCATTCTCGCACCATACCTATTCAATATATACGAAGAAAAAATAATGAGAAATGTCAAAAATGACCAGACTTGTGACAGTTATGATCCTATTCCGGAGCTCCGCTACGCAGATGACACAGTCCTTATTTCGAACAGCGTAAAGGGAATAGAAAATTTAATATTGTCTGTCCAAAAGCACAGTGAAGATCAAAATCTGTTCTTGAATTTAAAGAAAACAAAAATAATGTCCACATATAAAACTGGCTGTCACCCAAAAATTAGAATAAATGATGAAGAAATTGAAAATGTCACAAACTTTGAATATCTAGACTCTATAATAAACAGCAATGGAGACTGTTTGACAGAAATTAAAAGGAGGGTGGCCATAGCAATGCAAAGATTGAACAGCCTTCTTCTTCTTCTTCTGCGTTCGACATCAGTCATGCTAAACATTGTCTGGGTCACAAATAGGATTGTGCGTTTAAGGTCGCCACCGGTCTCACATAGCTTCTCTTTCAATGTGGCTCCCTTGGTCTAGATCCACAGTCTTTGCTGGGAGAGGTAAGGACAGTACTGTAGTTTGTGCTCAGGGGTCTGTCTTTCTGCTCCACAATCACAGGCAGCAGATTCTTTTATGCCTACCATGTACAGGTGTGCTCGAAGACTACAGTGTCCAGTCCGAAGTGAACTGCCATAAAAAGTCTATGGTTAAGCACCAGCAAGGAGATCAAAATTAGAATTTTGAGAGCATGCATCTTCCCTGTGGCTACATACGGACGTGAGTCGTGGACTATCTCTCAGTCCTTAAGAAAGAGAATATGGGCTTTCGAGCTGAAATGCTATAGAAAAATTCTCAGAATATCTTGGACAAAGAAGAGAAGAAATACTGACATCTTGACAGATCCGAACATCAAAGAAGATTGGCTAATAAAAAGCATCCTGTCTCGGAAGCTGAAATATTTTGGTCATATCAAGCGCCACGAAAGACTGGACAAAATTATGGCAGAAGGCATGGTACCATGAAGGAGGAACAGGGGCCGACCGACACGAAGATGGGCATAGGATATAAGTGACTCCTTGAGTATGAAAGTACATAAGGCGGGAGAACTGGCGAGAGACCGAGTTTCATTCAGGCAGACTGGAATGCGAGCGACGTTCTGCAAAGAACCTGCTACATGATGATGAATTGAAGACTGCAGACACGGGTTGTCATATTGGCTGTTTTAGCGCCAGATTTAACAAATTTGCCGTATTTGAAATTGAGATGGCTCAAGACAATGAGCTGGCGTATTTTGGTGTCAAATATCATTTATTCGCTATCAAAAATTGGTTTCTTACTTTAAGAAGAGAAGATTTTAAAGAAATGTTTAGAGTGACACCACTTGCACAAAAAATTTGAAAAACTGAAGTCTTTTTCAACAAACAAAAGCTGATCCTTATGAACTACACCAAGAATTGACCATGCACCAGAAAAGTCTTAAGAACAGATTGATGTCAATGAGCAGAAAAAAAATATTCATCACGTTGACTTTGGTATTAAATTCATAATAGAATGTTATGCGTTCCTACAGAAGAATAACGGGGCTGAAGCTCAGAAATAAAAACGATTTAAAAAAAAAAAGATGCATGTCTGTGCTAAAAGAAGCTCTCGATCAAATAACGTGTAGACTTCCCACCAAATAAATATTTCAAAATCTGTCAGTATCAATGACAGTTTTCAGAGCTACCATTTTAACACCTGACAGAAAACAACATCAGTGTTATAGAAGAACAGTACAGAAAATCGATTGTTTTTTTTTTTTTAAGATAGACTTCCTACAAATAGTGAAGATATTTGGATAGGCGTACTTCGACACCTGGCATTTAAAAAGTTGGCCACTTGGCTTGGCTTGGCTTTTTATACCCCACCAGGACATCACACAAGCGATAAACACCCGATGACACAAAGTGCCACCATGCGGATGAGGATCACAGTGGAGAGGTCCCAGAAACCGCGTTCAGACATTTGGCCATAATGATGACCTGCCTATATTGCGGCCCCTGGCAAAAGCCAGAGTGGGGCTTCAAATAACAAAAAATAACGTCCTAAGAAGGACGTACGATTTGTTGGCCACTTTCGACCTTGTTTGCTTAATAATGCCAGTTAGCAATGCTATCGTTGAGAGAACGTTGAGAGAATATTCTCTGATTACTCAGTTAAATCAAAAGCAAGAAACAAAATACAACTGGATTTTCTTGGTGTAGTTGTGAGAATTAGATCAGAACTAATAATATCAAACAAATGTTGAAAAGACTTCACTCCCTGTGAGAAAATACTTAAAGATTTTACATCTGAAAATGTTTACGATGAATCTTCAACTAGTTCCAATGAAGATGAGTCAGGAATTCAATCTAGATTTTTTTAGGTGAATACAATGTTACATTTTATTTGGTCTATTTCTGGCGTATTTTGGATAGTAATTTGGCTTAAAATGAAGTTTCTTTTTATCTAACCCCACTGCAGACTCGAGATGACCTCAAAGAAGTAGCTATCGTTGTTAGTAATGTTAGTACTATGTTTATTGAACATTACAAACTACAAGTTTGCGTTCCCTAGTTATGTGGCACCTAAGTTGTAAGCGCATTTACTTGATTTACTGCTGGCCTTTTCGTTCCAGAGAATTATGTTATAAGGTAACTGATATTTCTAATTTTCTTAATTTGAATTAGGCTACATTCATATAATATTCATATTGATTGTCTATTGACGACCGTTGAGAAAAAAATCTGCAATTGTCTGTTCAAATATTCATAATCTTGACTAGATTTTAAAATATTGGAAATTTCGGGACAGATTATAACAAATTGTGGTTTTGCTCACTCCAGACATCCTTGACATTAATTCCTTTGAGTCCCAGGGCGTTAAGCAACTTTACTTTAGCATCAGAGGCCCAGGGTTTGTAATGCACTTTTAAACTGTCACAAGTGTAAAACTAATAACGCAATAAAAAAAAAAAAAAAAAAACAGACTGTACTAATTCAATTCAGCTGCTCAGCAACATACACATATTATACATCAAAGTGACCAGGGATTGTTGAGAAATAATATTAGAATGCTGATACAAAATCGATTATGTCAGTAGTTAATTATTAGTAAACAAACAGATGGTATGTTTAAACAAATAAGTATTAGTTAAATGAAATAATGTTTCCACTTACCACCATGGCACTAAAGATAAACTTATCTATACTTCGATTAACGGGCACTAAAGATGGCGGCAGAAAATCATCTGTTCGAGCCGCAGTCACATGTCAATTGCGGGCTTCTGGCTACTTAATGTGCGCTTTTCCGGTGACTATGGCTACTGCCGCGTGGCCCCGACGCCGCTAACGCGGCGTGGATGGGGCTAAACTAGATGGCTAGGACTCACGAGCAAAGCTGCAGGAGATGCGGAAGCTGCTGCTTGTGAGTACTAACCATCTATCTAGTTTAGCCCCAATCCACACAGTGGGGCGGTAGCGGTTGTTGGCGGGAAACCGCTGGAAGACCGCAAATTAAGTAGCCGGAAGCGTGCAATTGACACGTGACTGCGGCTCAGACGGATAATTTTCCGCCGCCATCTTTAGTGCCCGTTAATCGAAGGATAGCCGAAAACTCATATAATATATCCAAAATGAACATAAGCTTTTTAGTAACGTATAAATAAAAATAAACACAGGCTGTACATTAGATCTCGTTCCAGAAAAACCTTTGGAACACCATTCTTTTTTGGATGGTAAAGAAAAATGGACTCTCCTCCGAATTTCTACCCCATATTATGGCGGCTAAATACCCTAACAGGGCCTCATTCGTATGTAAAATGCGGACTTCCTGCAATGAACACATCTCGGCAAAACTAGGATTACTTGACATTTCAAGTGACGCAACACTGCAGACGTTAGTAGCAGACGATAATAGCGACAGTTTACAGTTTCGAGCGTTTCTGCAGACGATACTAGCATGCGATACTGGCAGGTGGTAATAGCGACCATTGACAATTTCGAGACAGTCAACATTACAGACGATAATAGCGACATGGCGGGAAGACCGCGCGCTCTGATGTAGATTAGCGTCATTGTTGTCCTCACACTTTTCGGCATGCGCAAACTGTGGTTAAACTTACCGACAGTATCCCCAGCGCCGCTGTGCGCGGTGCGGATGGGTATCTAAACTAGATGCCTGGGACTCTATTAATAGTTCTGCTCTAAATCTCACAACTGCACCAAGAAAATCCAGTTGTATTTTGTTTCTTGCTTTTGATTTAACTGAGTAACGAGAGAATATTCTCTCAACGTTCTCTCAACGATAGCATTGCTAACTGGCATTATTAAGCAAACAAGGGCGAAACTGGCCAACTTTTTAAATGCCCAGCAAATAAGAAGAAGTTGCAGAAGATGCGGTAGCTGCTGCTCGTGAGTCCCAGCCATCTAGTTTAGCCACCCATCCGCGCCGCGCTGGGGATACTGTCGGCGGTGGGGCATAGTCACAGAAACAGATCTGCAATTAACATATCGATAAGACCCTGTTAGAGCATTTGTTTCGTTATGCGGAGCCGATCCTAGTTTTGCAGTGATTTGTTCCTCGACAGGAAGTACGCATTTTGCATAGGACTGAGGCCCTATTGGGAAATTTGTTTGGCCGCCACAATATGGGGTAGAAGTTGGGAGGAGAGGAGAAAAATGACTTCCGAAAACAATTAGTATTTTCAATCACTTACACACAAATGTATATTTTTATATATAGCATTCAATTTGCCCATAGTTTTGTAACCTATGTTTCCAAATAGGAAGGGAATCACACTAGACCTGACACTGAAGAAGATCACATGTTCACTAATATTTATTTATCTGTGTGCAGCAGGCTTTGTTTCATTGTACACTTTGCATGTGGCACATATTAGAGTTATCCCTTATCAAAGTTTGACTTTATTAATGACTGAAACAAGTCTACTACACTACTTTCTGTGTCTAGTTTTGGATAAATCTGATAAATACATGCGTTAAAACAATTTTAGGCTTCAAAGCCATAAATCATGTAGGTATGTACAAAGTAGTCTGCTCGGAGGCCATATTGTTTTCACACAGACAGGTAGTAATTTTGTAAAGCTCACAAATATGCTGTATTTTATGCTTTTAACCATGTTTCCGAATAAACCTAATGATCACCACATGTGATATTGAACACAAAGAACAGGAAAAGACCATTAAGACTGCTAGGTCGCATTTACACACTGGTCAGTGGTATATTAAATACCTGTATATGTGATGCGCCGATTGGGCAGCTGGGAAGTAATCAGTAAGTGCATATGTATTCATTGAGACTCAAGGAGTTGAGCCATATTTAGGATACATGTCTGCACTCCACAGTGGCCTTATTTGCAAACCTATGAGTTTGTTTATACATGAAAATGAAATTGATCTTTGTTATCATAGCCACCACTCACTGTACTCGGATCCAGCCCATCTCTATTTTCTAAAGTATTCTCACTGAATCACTGAGAAAGCAAGCCCTAATAAAAGTCTGTCTCCAGCCAGGCTATTTTTTGCTTCAGTTACTACCATGACCTCCATATAGACTATTTGTGGGTAAGGCAACAGCACAATAATCTTTCTTTAGGATTCTCCCACTAACATGAGCTGTAAAAAGCTATTTGCATGCAAAACAGGCAGGCCCATCTATGTAAATGATAGAATCCATGGCTAAACAATTCTCAGAAATAAACTTCTACTTCAGAATTAACAGAATTTGTTTGCACAAATTTTCTGTCTTGTCCGATGCACATTGACAAAAAGATGCACAGCACCCTGTTGACACATGTATTCACTCTTGTCAGGTTCTGTGTTATCAAGTAAATATACCTCTGGATAATGTACTCAGCCTGACCCATCCATGACTTTCCACTTTTTAACCTGCAGTATTCATTCCATCCTCTCCATCTGCTTATGGCTGAAAGGATCACCAATGCCTACAGACAAACAGAAAGACTGAGAAACTACAATTTAATAATTATTTTGATAAACTTTCACACTAATAAAATGAATAAAAATATTACTATTGTTTACTATTAGTTATATTTGCCACACTCAAAAGTTTGCCACCCCAAGAAGTTTGCTGCTCCCAAAAATCTTCCCTCCCTGTCAGCTGCACATGTTGCATATATGCCTAAATACAGCCATGAATATTACATTTTAACTAGAAAATGTTTTTTTTTTCTAGAACATAAGAAACAGAGACAAAATCACACAGAGAAAAGAATTAGAGACATAAATAATATGTGAAAATGAACAGCACTGAATGGGAAAAGAGAAGTATTGGTTTAGGTTTATTTATATCCACTGCTGCTTTGGGGGATAAATGGCAGAATAAGAAACTGATATTACCTGACTGCAAATTGTGAATTGTCTAGCACAGTGTTTCCCAACTTTATAAATCCCTTAGACAGAGGTAACGGTCACAGCCTGAACAGAGGAATGTCTTGGATAGTGCAGACAGAGGACACAATACAACTTGTGTCCATGCTTAAAAGTTCTGGACAAGGAGTCAACTAGGTGAGAGTGTTTGAGCAACAATCAGACTTGTGTAGGGTTCTAATCATATATTGGGTAGGGAGTGGCCAGTGTGTGATATAGAATCAGAAATCAACAAATGCTTCATGACAGTCACCCAGGGGAAGTGATTATCTTTACAGATGGCTCTGTATTGAGAGGCATAAGAAGTGCAAGAGAAAAAGAGAGTTGGGCGGGGGGAGGAGAAGTCCTAGCAACAACAAAAAATGGACATCGCTCAATGCATCAGAGTGAGAAGTTTGAGGAGGGAGGTGAGGCAATCTCTGCAGTCTTCTACTCGCTTGTGAAGCAGCAGCAGAACACACACATATGATTGTAACAAACTCACAAAACATGCTGAGAAATGTGAAAACTGGTGTACTGTGTACAGAGTGGCAAGTATGGTGCTAGAGAGCCCTGATAGTTAATGTCTTTTGGATATCTTCTTCAGGGTATTCAGATGTATAGGGAAATTACCTGACTGATAGACTGGCTGTTACTGTACCACTCTGTGGTAAATTGATGTGTGACAAGTTAAATGTAGTAAACACCCTTTGTGATTGAAGCAACAGTGCGGTGGCACACATAAATTATCGCAGCTGGAAGAGAATGATGCAGTGAAGGAGTGACCGGGGGATCTGGCAAACACTCTGAAGATTGACAAGAAGGACATAAAATCAGCCTAGTATACTGTTACCATCGGAATTCGTATTTTGTGCTGGCTGTTGAAGTTGGGGACAAAGCACTTATGGGAATGTCCAGAGTGCTTTGATGATGGTTCTTAACTTAACTTCACTTAGGACATTGAGAAACAAACTGATGACTAGTAGCTACATTTACCTGTTTAACCCTTTCCTGGCTTTCTAACTGAGATAATGACAACTTACTCCACTGATGTGAGATTTTCCTTGACTTCAGGATTGGTTAAACATAATTGAAAACACCTTTGATAACTGACGTTGTCTTCTGGAATTTCCTGCTGTTAATGTGTTGACTTTGGCAACATTCCCTGCTGTCACTGTGAAAGTTAATTCTCGCATAGAATCAGTCTTCTGGTGGTGCTTCAGTTAGTTTTAAAACATCTTCGGTGTGCTCACATGTTAGCATGT